TTTTCTAGCAGCCGTTTTGTCACGATTGTTATCATTGCTTTCTTCCTTGTATCTCCTCTAATTTGTTATCCTGGCTATTACCATTATTGCAGTTATCATTGCTTCTTTCATAATCATTCCAACACCAGATGTGAGCAACTCTATTTCTATTTGAATTCAAATATACATTCATGCTCCTCGGATTCACAATTTCATGCTCATTTGGTTGTGTTCATGGTTCAACGTGTTCCACTATGCTGTTCAATTATTGCTTCTCTTCTGCTCATTGACTCGTTCGTTAATTTTACTCTCTGTTTGGAAGACTGAAGTCGAGTAGTATGAGGTGCATTCGGTGCACTGCGAGTGGGTATTTATTCACTGGCTGCTTGATTAAACGTGACTAGAGGGACATCTTTGAGTTTCGAAAATATCCAGTGAATCAAACGCCAGTCGAGTTTTGGGGTGGATCATGGTCTTTTAGACCTCCAAATCCTTCTCTACAAACCAACCGTGTGACCATTGTATAAGTGCTGTTGTCCGCGCAGTTGTGCTTGTCTTCGCTCTTATCGTCTTCAGTCGTTCACTCCGTGGTTGTTGCTACCCATTACACCCTTGAGGCAACCGATGAAATCCTTGCATTGAAACCATTTCAATCTGTTTTATCTAGGTTTACATCGCAGAATTTACACCTTTTTTGAAAGAACACAAACTGAATATCTCGGAAAAAATGGGATTAAATGAAAATCCTCACACTTATTCATCACTATAAACCCATTAACACGTTTTTAGTACTTTGTTTACCCGTGCTTCGATTGGTATACAAATATTGAGATTGATTTTTGAGATGAGAAGCAACGAAAGATTGATGTTTGTTAGATAGTTCACTACATGGTCGGTGGGTTCCTACGAATGTGTACACTTCACGCGAATCGATCACCATCTTGACCTAGGGTAGATTGCAGAATCGCTCCTTCGAAATGCCAATACTTTAATATGATATTATCGGAGTATAGGGCATTCGAAGATTAAAACCCGCGAGAATACACTTCCCAATCAGTGCTATCGATGAGGTGTTCGTTCAAGAAAAAATCCAAATGTTGAAGTTCCTTTAAAGCTTCTTGAAAACCGAAATGTGTAATGTCTGGATGAAACCTGGTTCCGTTGTTCTTTAAGTGAATTTTAATTGATCCTGTTCAGCATCACAACGGTCATGGGATGCTTACAAACCTGGTAAAGGAATAATTATCGGCTTTCACATGGGCCACCAAATGATTTGACTTGTGTCAATTGTTAAAGCTATCAGATGATTCACCAAATGGAAAACTGCTTAATTAGAAACTCGACTGTGGTGCGTTCGCAGCTTCATTCGACGGAACTGAATCAAATGATCGCTGCTCGCAGGCCAATTGATTTCCCATCTCCCTGAACTTCCGGTGCATCTGACACGGGAACTCGACTGTTTTCTTTTGAACTTTCGTTGGTCATGGGAAACAAGTCACAGTTGTTTTAAGATGGACTTAGCCGACAGTGGCTAGGTCCATTAGGTCCGACTGGACACGTCAGGTTTGAGTTATCGTTAGACATGCGAAGAATTCAAGTGTCTCAATCCAGATTAAGGCATACGATCAATTTTCCTCGCCAGATCTACAGGCGACTCAAGAGAGATGAGACGGTGGGGCCGATGAATGGATTTATGAGCTGTGATAATACGTCGCCATTTGGTCCACTTTCGCCGAAAAAACTGCTAAATGTTGCACTCAGCATAATGTTACCGATATGTTGAACCACCAGGTTTAATTCAAAGTGACCCAGTCGAGGTACTCGGATGGTCACCAAAGGATGGTTCTCAGTTTCTTCTGGTGGACGGAATGTGAACATAACTTTAACCAACACAAAATCGTTCAAAAAGTCATGTCTCACGAGCTTGTCAACTCATTTGTGTCAGGCATTTATTGCAAGAAATCGAAATCGAAAGTACGGTCGGAACCCGATTTCACTTAGTTCATATACTTCCAACTGCTCTCCCAGCGACAAGCAGCATTCCTGTCACTCCACTTCTCAAGATTATTATTATTTGTATAGTACACCTTAGTGTGGTGAACAGCAGACGGGATGAGCCCCATAGTCACCAGGACCCACTGTTCAGTGATGGAAACCGGATTAAGAGAAGGACCGGATGTTACGGGAAATTGTGGAACCTTATCCGCCTTATCAGAAACTTGTGAAAGACCAGAAGAATAGGAGATAACCTGACATAAAACCACATTGTCATTTTATTTGAAGAGAGAAGTAGAAAGTAAGCATAGGGGAAGGGCTACACGTTGGAGCATCCCGGAGTGGTACACCGCAGGATTGAACTTCCTTCGACGTAGCTAGGTGGGTTAAGTTCTCTTGAAGAAGTAATCAGCACGCCAGACTAATAACTGCTGGGTACAGCCGTAGGTCTATTTTACGAAGAAGGTAATGAGGAATAGAATAAATTACAGGCGAGTAGTCCAGAACCTCGAACAGATTTCGCAGAGTCACCCGAGGATTTAGTATTTTTATGTGCAAGTGAAGAAACTGCATCTGACGTGCATATGCTCGTTTTATAGGCATATTGAAGATCATACAGGACATGAAGAGAGGACGGAATGCGTGTAAAGACTACACGTTCTGTTAATTTAAGACCAACAAAAGTTAAAGCTATAGGGGTGAACTGTTTGGTTGAGTTAGAGGATTTGGGAATGGGAACAAAAGTTATCGGTTCCAGCAGTGTGGTATGGAGCAGGTGTTTAAAAATGATGCCAATAATTCACTAAGAGAATGGGCTCTATATATCAAAAGAAATGGAAGGCCATCGGTATCAACACGAGGTGGTTTTCATGGTACGCACAAGCTCGACATTTTTTCGAAACAACCTCTGCTTGAACGGCATCATCCAGAACAAATGACGTGATGGCATCGTTTGATGGCCGAATCAAAACTACGTTAACACTGTACCATCCGGAGTTTTGGATTTTTTTCCACGTAACAATTTGACGCCTAGAGAAATTCACTTAGTATTGTTATTTTGCAACAGTTGGGAGGTGTACCACACAGGTGTTCGACATCAGCTTTGATCAGGCTGAAGTAATACTTGACAGGTAAAGCTTTTAGCAGTTCTCTCTGTTCAGAGTTAGTGTTTTCTGATCATTTTAATCAATCTATGTATAAAGTTGTCTTAAGAGTACGACTAGCCTATTTAACCTTCGTTTCAGTTCAATAGTTCACCAAAAAGCACCTCTGTCATGAGTACTGCGCACACAATTGATTCCCCTAAATATGTGTTCACCATCCCCCTGTATGAAGTGGGTTCTAGAAGAAGCGAGTCTCAAGTAAGTTGATCTGCTTTGGTTATGCAAACATTGTTGATGCTGAACTAATCATAAGTTACTTGTCCTTTTTGTGATCTGACATTGTTATTCTGTTATTGATAAGATTGTACTAAAGTCGCTATCAAAATAATGTTTTCAGATAGGGCGAAGTGGACCGACCGAGCTACACAATTCGTTATTCACTGGAACTGAACATCCTTAAAACTTCACCTTCGCACACAATCCTCAGCTCTTCCAGTCAACCATACATTCGGAAACTAGACTCGAGTTTCGTTCTTATTAGAACTCATCAGTAGTGCATATCCACTGTCCTATCCGGGCTTTGTACTCCAGACCCACCACATGGAAGGTGTGAATGTTACCACTGTGCCAACTAGATCAGGGCTGAACCGAATTGCCGATTCATGTTTTTTCGGGTTTTTTCTTCCTTTATGGTCAGTCAATTAATTTTAGCCCGACGGCTACGAAGAGAGACACACTTGACTATCTGTTAACTCCAGTAGAAAGCCTCTAACCAAATCAGGTCTTCTACGCAGGTTGATCAGTTCAAATCAATATCAATTATCTCATACTACTCACAAGTAACTGAGTTAAATACTCATTAGCTATTGTTAGATTCGATCGAACTGAAAACAGTCAGTAACGCTTCCGAATTTTGCATATGTGACCTCAGATGCAAATTGAGTTGGGGTCCAGCTGTGATGATATAGATAATATTACGTATTATACCAAAGCTACACATCATCTTATCTCAACGTGTTATCCTCGTTTTGATTTACACTACAGAATAAATTACATTAATGACGTCGGCGAACGAATGTGTTTTAAACCGTGCAACTTAGATTAGTACTTCAGACCGATAAAGTTAACAGTGTACAATTTTTCGGTTGATGCGAATAATTCTTTGTATCCCTTTATAAAAATAAGGGAATCCGAAGTTATAATAATGCTCAAATCACACTTTATTTTTTGGTCCCCATGTAATACCCTTCGTGATTCAACAAAGAATTTAATTTTAATAGTATCCAATTTCGTTGAGTGCACTCCAGTGCTTTTATACTATTGGGCGGCATGTTTGTTTATTCGTTCCTTTTGTCCTTCTCTTCGAATGTTGGGATCATTTACGAGTTAGATAGCCTTATTGAAAAGAAACTACAAGTAGCAGGAAACTCATGCATCTAACGGCTTGGTGCGTATTTTCACCTACCTACCACTTGCTTGTGAGTAAACTTACGTGTATCACGCCGACTGTATGCTACCCTTGCGTAGAAATCGATTAAAGCCCTGCGGTCCTCATCACAGTGCATTGTGTTTCAACGACGGAACAAGATTTAACCTGTTATCATCGGATTAGACGCATCCTCCTGTCGCATCATCCAGATCAATGTGTACAAACAGTTCGATCGGTGTGTTTGACTACAATCGAGGGTAGATCGATGCATTCGTGCATGTGTTCGATTCATCACTGTCATAGAGTCGATGACCTAACAATAGGTGGTTTTTCTTCTGTGAAGAAGTCAAATTCAAACGATCAGTTAAAATGATATTTGAGTGCGGCCACCGCTAGTAAGTACACACCCTATGAATAAAGTAAACTGAATAATTATTTGTGACTCATAGGTCTAATTGCTCTTTATAGAAGTCCATGAACGACAAAGTTTGGAATGAATTAGATGCCAATAATATGAACGGGCTCTTAAACATTGAACTTCAACTCAAGGTATTGCTGCAGTATCTCAGTCTTATGCTTCAAGTTGGAATGCACGTTTTCCCCCATATACTATAAAAATTTATTGTTTGGTAATAATGACCACATTTGGAACTCAACCGTATTTCCCTAATTGAATTTGTCAGTTATCATTCATGATCATCATGCAAATCAAATTCGTATATTAATTGATTTTCAGAATGTCAAATAGTTATCTGAACGAAATTTACCAAAAATTGAAGATTTGCATTCCTTATTTGCTCGATAATGTGATATTTTTCTGCATTCTCATCTCTATTTTCCATAACACTACATTTCCTAACTCCTTCGAATATATCATTACATTCAGGATTGTAAACCTTTTGGAAGTCCCGTGCCCTTCCGAGCTATTCCTCTCGGTGAGGACTTATCCACCCAATTGAGTTCCGCTCTCAAAGATGATGATGATGGAGACACGTTCTTGGAAGAGGTTGTCAAAATTACTCGGCATCGAACAGTGTCATCCGAGCAGAGTGACGGCATTGACGATCCTGCCTTTCAGTGCTGTTTGTGTGGGATGCGGACACTAGAGCGATGCTTCCATTGTGGTTGGGCACCGTATTGTAGGTGAGTGGAAAAATCAGAACAGCTTGGACCTGCGGTTGCGACCATCCGTAAATGTCGTGTATCGACCAATAGAGCTTCCTTTGATATTTTAAAATTACTATTTATCTTTCGCACGCCTGATTTCAGACTGTGAAACAAACTAATCACGGTACCATGATATTTATAAAAATAAAAATAATCTGTGATTTCCTCGAGGGCACAATACTGCTAGGTTGCCCAGGCCAAAGCAGGAGAATTTTCTTAGGGAATTCTTACCCGGAGCCTTCGGCTAACCAAAGCCTGACCCGCAACGCAGAGGGGCGGTGTAAAAACTACTGTCCATTCGGGGCTGATGTCCAGTTTATCGGATCATACGCCCATTGGACGGGGTCAAACGTGCATAGTGCCCAATACCCCTAAATGCCCAATCGAACCAGTGACTCCTACTACAACCAGAGAGGTGTGGGTGTGTGGTGCGTACGCCTCTTCTTTAAGAAATAGCAATAATGTCGGTCGTTACGTAAGCAGTGGCAGGTTTGAAGTATAGTAGTATAGTATTATATATTAGTTTAGTTTAATATACAGGCATATATTCTTATGAATTATTCTTAGTGTAATCACAGTGAATTTTAAAAGGATTTTAGGGTTCACGGACACACACGTAACTGTCCGTTGTTCTTGTAGGTCACGATATGGTTATGTAAATCACACCAGATGGAAACGATTACGAAGGAAATTAGGTCGCGAAACGCGCAAACAGGCTACAAGCGCCATTTGCCAGAAGTGTGAAAGATTGATGTCATGTTCAGGCCACGGGAAAGAAGTTGCTAAATATTTTGAACGAATCTATATTCAGGACCTTCTAGGGTAAATGACAAGTTATGATCTATTAATGATAGCATTTGTGATGCGATTGTGTTTAAGTAGTTTTCGGCTAATTCGTATAAATTGTTCGCCTTCGGACTTATGTTCTAATTCATATAAGCAAGAGCAGAAACCAAGTTCGCAGTTGACGAACTGGTACGCATCCAACTGAAATGTTACCACGGATTAGCTTTCAGTTTAACAGAGCGGCTTCAGTATAGTACAGGTCTACAATTAGATGAGCTGTGCGCAATCGGATTGGAGAACCGAGTCGAACACAGTGAGAACAGGGGACGAAAATAGTCGGTAGAGAAGAACACATCTAAACAAACGGTTTCAAGCGGAACACTCCTACTTCACAAGCACTGATGATATCACCTAGACTGGTGATGAAACGTTTGCAAACAAATTGCCAAGCTCGGCGAACAGGCGAAATCGAATTCAGTTCACCCGAGCTACGAGAACCAATTTTCAATATTTTGTCAATTAAACTAGGTTTCTTTGTCAAACGTAGATAAAATAAATAAAGCAATGGGATCACCGTCTTTCTCTGTGTCTGTGTGCTGTTTTTGCGTCTGTAAGTCCACAAATCGTCACAGGTTTTGTTGATGCGATGTAATGTTTGTCTATCTCGACGTGTCGGTTGAACGAAATGACCGGGTGTAAAGCTTCGAGGATTAATCTTTCCTCCTTTTTCTTAGCTCACGACACCACCTTTGCGTTATCAATTGCGATCTCTTGATCCCTTCGTGCGCAGTGGTTCCAGATTTTTGATCTCGGTTCAGTATACCCGAGTATAGTGCGTGGTTGGTTGCCTGTCTCACCTATTTAGTGGTAATTGAAGTTTACGTTTGGTGGCTTCTCACGTATTGCGTATGTAGGGTAACGTTATACAAATACCCTCTTTTGCGTGTATTGTTTTTCTGCCCCTGGTGCACGCGTTGATAAAGCTCCTGTGATATGTATCTGATTGATTTCATGAGGATTAGGTTTACGTACATTGGACAGTATAAATTAGTATTCATTTGAATGATGCTTTTATGCTAGTTGAGGTAATGACACCAACGGAAATCGGGTTGCGAAGTTAGTTCCCAAGTTGTAGTTTATCGAAAGTTTCCAGATGCCTAATTTGTAATTAATAGTCGGAATGAATTAGGAAATCATCTTCATCGTACAGCAAAATACAGTGAAACGAACTTCACCGATCACTGCTAAACTCGTCATGCGTATATGATTAGTGATAAAGTTTAAGGTGGACGGGGACGACCTACTTTGAGGGAGGGAGATGAAAGTGAACCACTGTGGTCAACACACAGAGTGCACAATCGAACTCTGCATACATACCGTTTCAAGCATTCTGGCCTGATAAGAAATAACAACAAGAACGCCACTGCTGTCGGTTCGCTGCTATATCCTTTAATGTCTCCAACCAACCGTTTGTGGAGTCTTTCGGATCCCCACCTGGAAGGCGAGAGACACCTGCTCCACCTAATTTCTCGGTGCATTTCTTTATGCCTCGTCTCCACTTCATCTGTTGACCTCCATACACGCTAGCGCAATATACATGGCCTTTGCAACTTCAGTGAAACGTCATGTCTACGCCAAAGGTGTTTCAGTCCTGCATATACTGTTCGGGCCTTGGAAATGCGGGCGGTTGTCTCCTTTGCTGCGC